CCCACCCCTTCAAACACCACGAACACAGATCCTGCTCCCAGGGGAGAGAACTGATGAAGGAAGAGATGAATAAAAGCTGAACCCAGGCCCCAGGACAGCTCCTCGTTCACTGAGAACCACCCCACTTGTCCCTCCCTCTCTTCCCTTCTTAAAACCACTGCCAGTTTCTCTGCAGCTCAAATGTTTTCTTCCCACCCACACGTCCAACTCACTGAACAGACCACTGCCTCCACCTTCCACCCCGCTGCTGGAGCTGAGCTCCCCTACCCTCCTTATATACACCAGCTGAGCCTCATTAACCCAGGGGAGGCAGCCTATTGGCCACCATTCTCCCCCATGGCATGCTGGGAAACGTAGTTCATAAAGTCCTGCAGCAGGACAGTCCCACTGAGAAAGTAACACCCCCCCCCACTCCCTTGGCCCATCTTCCACACACTCCAACACTGCCCCACCTGTATCTCTCAGTGTAAGATGAGTCCAGCCTGGAGAGGATGACTGTACCAGGGAGCCAAGAGCAAGGAGGTGCATTACATTGAAAAGAAAGCAGATTGGTTGAGGCTGTGGAGTAGCAATCCGCTCTCTCCCTCTTGAACAGTTAAGAGCTCCTGCTCAACCTCAATCCCTCCTGCTCAGAGGCAGTAGGTAGATTAATATTCACTCTCACTGGTACTTACCAGCTTCACTCACAGCCCAGTCAGCTCTCTCACCTTTCCGACAGAGGGGTGGTGTTTGTACACAGCTCCTGCTGCACACAGGCTCCATTCCCCCGAGGAGACATTCCTTCTACCGGCACACAGACACCACCCAGAGCTCTGTCCTGAAGCATAACTCCAGCCCTGAGTCACACACATCTCCAATAACCTTATCGCAGCGTAGAGCAGTTGAATCAGGGAGTGTTACAACCTTAAAAACACATCTAGGGTCCCCCCCCACCCCAGTCTCACCCCCAAAGAACACCGGAGAGATCAGCCTTCCCCCTTTGCACCAAGTTAACCTCATGATGACCACAGCACAGAACTAAGGCAGTTGAGGAACATGTTCATATTCCCAGTGGGAAGGAAAGACCAGGTAAAAAAAACAACCCAAAACCAGATGGGCTAGAACCGGGAAAAAAATAAATTGTACCTAAACAGTTAGGGGTAGAAGGGAGAAGGCTTTTTTTTCTTAGTACAGCCTATCTCCACCACCCACATCAGAAAACCACGAACGCGTCTTTCCCACCTCTCAAACACACACCCCGCCACTGACTTCATTCCACCTATCTCCCCCCTCTCAGGGGATGGCCCTGTGCAGTCTCATGTTCCCCTCTTTGAACACCGATTGCTTTTGCTTTATTAACTAGCAGAACCCAGGGGTAAGAAAAGACTTCAGATGAAGCCTCACAGAGTGACACCTAGGACACCTGAGCATTGAAATAGTAGGAAGAGTTTAGTATAGAGAGCTAGCCCATTCACAATAGAACAGGTCAGACTTACCCCTCCCCAGCTACATATTACAATACAGTAGAGGTGACAGTTCACACTACAGTAGGCAGGTGTAGGGTATTACAACCCACATCTGCAAACCACAGTACAATATTACATTACACACCTTTAACTACTACAATCAAGTACAGGTGACAGTTCAGGACACAGGTATAAGTACTACACTACAATACACACTATACAGGGGACAGTTCATGCATTGGTATAGAACACTTGAGTACAGGTGACAGATTTAGGCATAAGTCCCTATTACTCTGCAGCACAGTACACAGGGCAGGGTATTACAACACACTACAGGCAACAGAGCACAGTGCACTACACTACAGCTGGCTATATATTACAATCGAGTACAGGTGATATGTTCAGCTAGAAATCAATGTTACATTCACATACAGTAACAAGGGTGACTGTTCCAACACTGTGAAAGTGCCAGTTCAGTACCCAAGCATGAGTATGAAAGAACAGCACAGGTGACAGTTTTAAACATAAGTATTACAACACAACAGAGGTAACAGTTCAGATAACGGTGCAATACACAGTTTGGAGTGTTACAATCAAGTACCGATGACGTTTTCCAATAATCCACAGTCCATGTGTTACACAGAAATACAGTACAGAGACCTGAGTGTTACAACATTGTACAAGGGACAGTTCAGTACAGTAGTCCTTGTATTACAACAGTACACAGCTCTAAGCATTAATAAACAGTACAAGTGACAGTTCAACACACCACTCCTCAATTTCACAACAGCACAGTACACAGGGCTGTGTTACAAAACAGTTCAAGGAGGGAGCTACATCTGCTTGTGGAGGCAACAGAGGAACAAGGTCAACTTTCTCACCTGCTGAAGAGAAGAAAGGAAACAGTTTAGCTGTGGAGCTTTCTACACAACTATTACGACAAGTGACAGTTCCCTATTAGAGTAGGAGTACAGGTGACAGTTTGATACACAGGTCATATTACATTTTAGTACAGTACAAATGGCTGGGTATTACAACAATACAGGTGACAGTTCACAGCACAGAATAGCAGACAGGTCTGGGTACTACACCACACTACAGGTGATAGTTCACATCACCATACACCACACAGGTCTGGGTATTATATGTATTATAATAGCACAGGACACAGGGCTGAGCCTGACAATAGGACAGTTAATGTCAACACTAGGACCTGAGTATTAAAATACACTGCGAGCGCAGGTTTAAGAAATGGTTGTAGTCCTGAGTATTAAAGTTCAGTTTGAACAAGAGATCGGCACACTAGATTAAGTATTTTAGTACAGTCCAAGTGAGAGCTGAACACAGATCTGAGAATTTTTTTTTTTTTTTTTTATAAAGGTTAGAGTAAAGCACACAGGTGTGTCATTGAGTATTGAATCTCAGTCAAGGTAAGAGTGTAGCCCTCACCAATTCCAGTATTAAAGTACACTATAGATGAAGGTTGAGTATAGACGTCACTGAATAGTACAGATCGCTCCAAGTGAGAGTTCAGCACGCTAGGTAAAGTATTAAAGCTCAGTACAGGTGAGAGTTCAGAACAAGTCTGAGCCCTGCAAAATAATACCAATTCACATATCTGAGTATAACACAATACAGGGTACAGTTCATCACACAGGGCTGAGTATTCGAATAGTACAGCTGACAGTCCAGCACACAGATTTGAGTATTAAAATACACTGCTTGTGAAGGTTTAGCATGCATGTCACTGCGTATTAAAACTCACTTACAAGTCAGGGATCAGCACACTAGGTTTACAATTATAGTACAGCAAAGGTGAGGGTAAAGCACACAGGTGTGTCATTGAGTACTGAAACTCAGTAGAGGTAAGAGTGTAGCACACAGATCTGAGTATTGAAGTACACTACAGATGAAGGCTCAGCATACACGTCACTGAATATTAAAGCTCAGTACTAGCTCACCTCCCTGGTTTAAGTATTTCAGTACAGTCCAGGTGAGACCTGACGACAGATTGAAGTATTGAAGCACAGTAAGAGTTAAGTTTACAGGTTTAAGTATTACTACGCATTACAGTTCAGTGGAGATGAGAGTTCAGAACACAGGCTTCAGTATTAAAAACACTGGAAAAAGTACCCATTATGTTGAGTACACTCGAGGTGACAGATGAGCACACAGGTTTCTGTATTAAAGCACAGGAAAAAAACACTGGTTTAAGTTTTTTAGTCCAGAGCTGACCACACTGATCTGAGAAATTTTAAAGCAAGTGAGAGTAAAGCACACAGGTGTCAGAATATTAAAACTCAGTAAAGGTAAGAGTGTAACAGATTCAAGTATTAAAGTACACTACAGATGAAATTTCAGCATACAACCATGTGACTGGATTTTAAAGCTCACTTACAAGTTAGAGATCAGCACAACACTGGTTTAAGTATTTTAGTGCAGTCCAGGTGAGAGCTGAGCACACAGGTTTGAGTATTAAAGCACAGTAAAGGTGAGAGTTTAGCACTGGTTTAAGTATGATACTACAGTCCACATGAGGGGTCAGTACACACTTCAGTATGAAAGCACAGTATAGTTCAGCACTTGTGTTAATGTGAGAATTAAATTAAGTACAAGTTCAGCACGCTGGTTTAAGTATTACAGTACAGTCCACAGGATAGCTCAGCACACAGGTCTGTCATTGAGGATTAAAGCACAGGACAAGAGAGTTATGTATACTAGTGTGAGGATTACCAGTATTAACACTCAGGGGAGATGGGAATACAGTACAGTACACAGGTGTGGGTATTAAAGTATGATAAGAAAGACTTCAGCACACTCATATACATCATCATTGAGTAACAAAGCTTAGTACAGGTGAACGTTCAACACACAGATGTGTCAGTGTATAAAGGTACAATCCTCTTGAGAATTGAGTACACCATTGTCAATACTCCACTCCCTACAGTACAGCCACTGATAACCATGATCAGAACAGTATCTGAGCAAAGTATCTCACTCTGGGGTACAAGACTGTCCCCCTCTGGAATCAAACCTGCAATCCACAGTCAAAATTCCCCTTTAATACTGCAGAAGTGTAGTGTTTTACAGAGCACAAGCAGCTGGACTGAGAGAAAGACACACAGCTCAAGAGACAGGCAGAGAGACGTCACAGAGACCGACACGAAAGAGCTCCTCACCTCCATCCCAACTCCCAGCCATACCCGTCTTCCCACTATCTGCCCCTGGCCAGCCTGGAAAACACAGTAGAGAGAGTTCAGCATCAGTCCCAACACCACACCTGCCTCTCGACTGTCTGCTTGTGAACATCGTGGAAAATTAGGGAAAAGAATTTAGGACAGGGTTCAATCATCATACGTACATGTCTTCCACAATGTCAGCCTCTGCCCCTTTCCTGGAAAAGGAAGAAAAAAACAGAGGGAGCAGCTAACCTCTATCCCAACTCCTCATCCATACCATCTTCCCACTGGCAGCCTCAGGACATCCTGGAAAACTACAGAAATGAACACAGGACAGAGCGTCAACCTCCATCCCAACGCTTCATCCACACTGGTGTTCCCACTGACTTTTCTGGACATCCTGGAAAACTAGGGAAAAGAAACAGTAGATAGCATCCAACCCCCAATCTATACCAGTCTTCCCACAGTATTCCTCAGAACATCCTGGAAAATTAGGGAACAAGAGTACAGGAGAGGGTTCAATCTTCATACATACCCGTCTTCCCACTATCGGCCTCTGGCCAGCCTGGAAATTTAAGGAAAATACAGTCCAGTGTCAATCCCAACACCTTTCATACCCATCTTCCCACTGGCAGCCTCTGGACTCTGGAAAATTAGGAAGAAGAGACAGGAGTGAGCATCCAACCTCCATTCCAACTCCTCATCCATACCATCTTCCCACTGTCGGCCTCTGGACACTCTGGAAAACTACAGAAATAAACACAGGACAGAAAGTCAACCTCCATCCACACTGGTCTTCCCACTGGCTGTTTCCTGGACGTCCTAGACAGCATCCAAACTCCAATCCATCTTCCCACTGTCAATTCTTTTGGACATCCTGGAAAATTAGGGAAAAGTTACAGGAGAGGGTAACCAACATCTATCCCAACTCCCAGCCATACCCATCTTCCCACTGGACAGCCTCTGGCCAGCCTGGAAAATGGAAAAGGGAAATGCGAGACAGGAGAGAGCATCCCACCTCTATCCCAACTCCTTATCCATTCTGGTCTTTCCACTGTCAGCCATTGAACAACCCGTCTTCTGTCTGCCTCTGGACATTCTGGAAAACCACATAAATGAACATAGGACAGAGCGTCAACCTCCATCCACACTGGTCTTCCCACTGGCTGCCCCTGCACTGGAGTCCATCTTGACCTCTGACCCCTGACATTTTGGCATTTGAGCTCAGAGAGCAGGAGACGCTGCTGGAGACAGGAGAGACCATCAATCCCCATTCCATCTTCCTATCCACACCTGTCTCCCCAGTGTCAGCCTCTGGACATCCTGGAAAGTGAGGGGAAAAAAGAGACAGGAGAGAGCATCAACCTCCATTCCAACTCCTCATCCATACCCGTCTTCCCACTGTCAATTTTATGGGCATCCTAGAAAAAAAAGAGGGAAAAGATTATAGGAGAGAACATCCAACCTCTATCCCAGCCATACTGGTCTCTCCACTGTCTGCCCCTGGACATCCTGGAAAATTAGGGAAAAGGAAACAGGAGAGGGTTCAATCTTCATACGTACATGTCTTCCCAGTATCAGCCGCCGGACTTATTGGAAAAGGGGAACGAGAGACAGGAGAGAGCATCCCACCTCCATTCCAGGACACGCTGCTGTAGGCTGCACAGCTGTGACAGCTGGTCCGTGTGTCTGAGGGCAGCAGTCTGGCTCTGCAGTCTCTCTGTGCCTCGTCATCTGTGTTCAGCCCAGTGGTAACTGGTCACTCAAGATTGTGTTAATTCAACACAATAACAATACTTCACCAGGCTCTAATATCAATGCTAGTAACTTTATAACAGTTCTCCTCTCTCACTAGTAGGGTTGTGTGTTCATGCCCTGAGTGTGACACAGGAGTGACAGGACTAACCTGACCTTGTGCTCAGGCTGGAGGTTGGTGTTGAACTCGGGTACAAGAGTGTAGTGTCAACAGCACACTGACCAGGTTCTTGTGGGCGAGAGACAGCAGGAGGTCAGGACACAGCCCTGAGGGTCAACCCCTGATGCCCCTACAGGAGGAGTCCACTGGCTCTCCGCCTGGAGCTCATCTCCAAGGGGCAGCCTGAATCAGGGTCACCTGCAGCTCTTCATCATCATCATGGCCATCCTCACAAGCTCCAGCAGGCAGGAGATCAGGACACCCTGGATGTCTCCCCGAGATGACTCCTACTCTGTCCCCTCGGAGTCTGTGGATCCCAGATTGGTCCGATCAGCCCCGATCATG